AACAGCCGCAACAGCAACAACAACAGCAGCACCTGCACCAATCACAACAACCAGAAGCGATGCAGCACGCCCTTGACGCCGACCAGCACCAGCACCGGCCGGTTGGAGGTGCCTGGGGCATCGGTCAGTCGACGCAGCAGCATTTACAAGAAGCCGGACAAGAACGATGGGGGTCAAATCCATATGATACCCGATGTGGAGCTGCCGCTGATGACATTCGCCGATCAGTACAATATCGAGAAGACGCTGGCCGAGGGCTGCTTCGCCAAGATATTGCTCTGCCGGCACCGGCCGACCAACACCACGGTGGTGCTGAAGGCGGTGCATGCCGAGCTGACCACGATCAAGGAGTTCCAGAAGGAGTTCCACTACAACTACGAGCTATCGCATCACCATCACATACTCAGCGCCTATGCGGTGGCCTTTCAGACCATGGACTACTACGTGTTTGCCATGGAGCATGCGCCATACGGAGATCTCGCTTCGAACATCGGACCGAATGGTTTGCATGAGACGGCCTGTAAGCTGATCGCAGAGCAATTGAGCTCGGCGTTGGGATTCATGCACTCCAAGAATCTGGTGCATCGGGACCTTAAGGTTGAGAACGTGCTGGTCTTTACGCCGGACTTTACACGCGTCAAGCTATGCGATTTTGGGGCAACGACCAAGAAGGGTCTGCTCGTGCACAAGGTGAAGCATACGTGGACCAGCTGTGTGCCGCCCGAGCAATTGGAGTTGATCAAGAATGAGCGCTTCCAGTGCTTGCCCATCAGCGATTCCTGGCAATTCGGCATCTTGCTGTACAACATTCTGACGGGCAATCCGCCTTGGCTATCCGCCGATTGGGTCAAGGATCCGGCGTATGCTAACTTCATGAAATACGAGCAGCGCAAGACGACCAAGGTACCAGAGAACTTTCGACGCTTCTCGCCGCGTTTGATGCGCTGCTTCCGCAAGTACTTGACGCACGATACAGAGGAACGGTGCAAGATCACCGAGGTGAACAAATACATGAAGGATCGCTGGGTTGAGTGTCGCATCTCGGCCTCGAAATCGGCCACGCTGATCTCGCCCACGCCACAGGATCAGGACTCGTGCATCTATCTGAATCAGCGAGAGGGACGCCTGTCTGGGGACGAGAACAAATTGCGCTTTAAGCGCATGATGTCCAGCTATGGCCTGGACGTACCCATTGATCAGGGCATGGTGCGAAAGCGCGTCTGGGATTGGCTATCCACGTGCGACGCTAGCTTCGATCCGGAAGTAGAAAGCTTGCATGCATTGGAAATGTAGAGAGCTGCGATATGTCTAAGAGAATTTTTTCAGATCTATAAGATCTAGGAGATTGATTAGATGTCTAGTCTAATAGATCTCTGCCCTATGCGATCTCTGATCTATGAGATCTCTGAGATCTATGGCTTATACTGAGAACTCTCTCTCTTCTCAAGCCAAACAAAAATTTGTTATTTGGTTCAAATGGACCAAAATTGATTATATATTTATATAAAAAATGTAATACCTATAGACGAATTTTGCTATGCATATGAAGAAACTACATAATTATTAGAAATTTGTACCAAATAAACCCAATGGGGTATTAAATTGATATACTTAGTAGATATTTTGTATATCCAGTAAAAGCAAAACACGTCAACGGATAATCTTTCCACTAGTGTTACCTTTCTAGTCTTCCGCTACGATGGTTTATATTTAAATATGTATAAATATATATCTATATGTATGTAGTTTTATATATGTGTGATGTACGCGTTATTTACTTTATACGTCATATACGATACCAACTAATGCAATTATCTAGAATTTAATATGTACTTAAGAGCAAGAGTAAACGATATATATCTATAATCTATATACTATATGTGACCAATTATTAGCTAAGTGTTGTCTTAACTATGTGTAATTCGATTATATCTAAACCCTATACGATTATATATTATGTTTATGCTAGACTTTATCTTGTATCTTTATCTATATCTATGTGTACGATCTTGTATATATGAGTACGTATTTATGAGTACTATATACGATATGCTATACTACTTTTATATGAGTTAATGTACACGGAATGATAGCAAAAACAAATATATGAATATATAGAGAAACGTCAACTGAGTTTATTTTGAAACGTCTTTTAAATGTAAACAAATTTATTGAATATTTACTTTCTACAGCAAATAGGTCTATACTAAGATATATTTCTGAGCAGAATATAATGAAGTTCGGAATTGGTCTGGCTGCTTCTTCTCCTTTTTTCCCGACTAAATTATTTTTTAGTTATTTACTTTTACATATTAAAATTATTCGAATTTAAGAGAAAATCTCCATTAAAAGTTGGAACTGTTTAATGTACCTCCAAAGCTTTAACGATAACCGCAGGCTATTTTTATTTATATTTATTTGAAATATATATTATAATAAATATATATTATATATCTCCATACATAGTATAGTTATTGCCCACGATATTAGTCGTAAAAGCAAAAGTTTCTCTAAACATTTTCACAACCATCATAAAAATTTGTGCAAAAACAAATTCGCTTTGTTGTTAAATGTGGCACATTGTTTAGCGAAAATTACGACGCATACAACAATGGCAGCAACAACAACAATGGAAACTAACAATAAATATTTATTATTTGACGCATTAAAAACGAGAAGGAAAAAAAAAAACCAAAATCAAAATTTAATTTTTGCTAAAATTTTTAATTATTCAATGATTTTCTTATAGATTTTTGCCAATAGTTTATATTTATCTCTCTTCCTCTCTATCTCTCTCTCTCTCTCTCTCTCTCTCTCTCTCTCTCTCTTTCTCTCTCTCTCCCTCTCTCTCTGTCGTTGAAGGTTGACCAGAGGCTAATGTCAGCGGCGGTCAGGGCTTTTAGTTTATTTGGCCAAAACAATGGATTATTTATGAATGGATCTTGTTGTTGTTGTTGTTGTTGTTACTGTAGGTGTTGTTGCACTAATTGTTGCTGTTGCTGTTGCTGCTGCTCGCTTTGTCTCAGCTTTTGTTTGGGACATGAACAGGATGTGACGCAGTCGTAAATCTGTCTCTAATAAACAGCAGCTGCGAAGGTTGATTAAATAAAATGTTGAACTTGCTGTTGCTATTGGCTCATCTTCTGCCCACCTTCTTCACACCTGGCCGCCTCCGCTTCGCTTTTACCTGGCTGACATCGACTTTATCTTCTTCTCTCTCTCTCTCTCTCTATCTCTCCCTTTCTTTCAGTCTGTGTGGGCTCTTGTAATACAATTTCCATTTAAATCAAATAAACTGCTTGTCCGTTGATTGATTGATTGATTTGGCTTGCTTGATTGACCAGCTGAACGTTCATTTACCTGTAATTAAATTTGAGTACAGAGTTTGCCACGTGCTATGTTCTTTTCGTGTTCTCTTGTTTATTTTATTATGCAAACAAAAAGGTTACAAAAATAAATTGGTAATCGTTGAGATACCCTGTAGTTTTGGCGGTAGGGCTAGTTGGCTTTGAGGATTTTCGACATCTTTTATTAACATTTTAATTCATTTTTATATCAGTATACATATTTCTTTATATGAATAATTATGTAAATTAATTAGGTAACATATATTTTGTATGCTGATTAAAGTTAATTTTTTTTAGCTCTTAAAGAACAAAATATTTAAAACATTTTGATAATTGATTTATTTTTTTTTTTACTTTATTACCTGTTATACCCCAACTCAGGCATTAATAGTTGTATTATTTGTTTACAGGGTATAGGTACTCAGACATATTTTATGAGCTTTGCATTTCCATTTTTTTTTCTTTTGCTTTATACCTCGTTGCGCATGTTAACACTTAAATGGATTTTTATGGATTTCCAAGTCTGTGTGAGAAGTCAACTGAAATGAATTATATACAAAAAATAAAATAATAATAAAGAAGGAAATCAATACTGTATGTAGCTATAGAGAGGATCTGCATATTTGCTGAGACACGTGCCAGCAGAGTTTTTGAGATCAACTTGAAAGTCATTTGTTTTCGTTTTGCTGATCGGAGAATTGCTCGATAAATATTAAAATGATCCCATTTAATTAGTTTTTATTGGTGTAAAACTGTCCGAAAAGCAAAACATGTTGTGCCGCGCGCATAAATTTAACCAAAGCGCACAAAAATAGGTTTTTACGATGCCCGCCAAGGCGGCAACTTATTTGCTTTTCCCGCACCCGCAGCATCCCCCCGCGTCTTCATGCACAGCAACTAATGCGAATTTTCATGAGTTTTCCACACACAAACTCACGTCTAGTTGTTGTTGTTGTTGCTGTCGCGTAATTTATGAGCCGCATTTGCCATTTCGTATTCTGTTGGAACTGACTTGGACTCGCTGGTGCGAGTCTCTCATTCGCTCTCATGCGAATGTGACATTCGCATAGAGAGGCGACCCCAAAAAGTATGCAACAGTTTTTAATT